GCGTTCAATCCAGCCCGCGTCGCCGCCCGCCTCTGCGCCGCCCGCCTCCCCGCCCGCAGCGCCGCCCTCCCGCCCCCGCCCGCCCGCCTCGATCAGCACCTCGAAGCGCGCCATGACCGACTCGTCGGTCATCTTGAGGAAGGCGTCCTGCAAACACGTGCCGTGGGCGTGTCGTGGGCTGCGGGGCGGCACCGGCCTCTCCTCGACCGCAAGCGGCGGCGGCCTCGTTGCCGGCGACCACCGTCTCGGCGAGGCGCAGGCTGCCCACGACCGGGCCGAGCGCGTCGGCGGCGAGCAGAAAGTCGCGGTGCAGCAGGTCCCAGGCCACGACGTGCTTGTGCGTGTAGAGCTGGCAGTGCAGCTCCGCGCGCTTGCGGAAGACCTCAAAGAGCGAAGGGGACATCTTGTCCGGGTAGCAGATGACCGGCCGCGCGCGCGCCTCGCCGCCAAAGGTCGCCAGCCGCACCTCTGCGTTCTCAAGCAGCGGGACGACCAGTCCACTCATCCCGACCGTGTCAGGGTCGCGGCGCAGGTAGTCGAGCTTGTCCATGTCCAGCCTGGTGATACAGACGGCGATGTGAGTGGAGCGTCGCAGTCCTCCTCTCGCGGAAAGACAGAGCGCCACGGGTGCAGACGAGGCGAGTTCCGCACATTCCAATCCACATCTAGAGGTGCCACATCTAGGGTGCCCAAGCCCCGAGTCCGCGTTGCAGACGATGTCGTACAGGTAGCGCTTGTCCCAGCCGCGCCCTTTGCGCGCGTCCACCCCTCCCTTCAAGTCGCCGCCGAGGATCAGCTCCTCGACGAAGACTAGCTCCGCCTCCGTCAGCCGGTCCTCGCGCGCCGCGAGCGGCGGCTGGGCAAACACCTTGCGCAGCAGCCGCACAGACAGCTGCTCGTGCTTGTGCTTCTCCAGCACCTTGGCAAGCCCGGCGTCGCCCTCGTCCCGCGCACGCCGCGCCGCCGCCGGCACCACAAAGTTGTCAAACGTGTGCGAGAACGGGCCGTGGCCAAGGTCGTGGCACAGCGCGGCGAGCTTGACGAGCAGAATGTCGCGCTCGTCGGGCGGCTGCACGCCGTGGGGCATCGGCCGCTGCGCAATGTTTCTGCACAGCTTCTCCGCCAGGTACGCCACGCCGAGGCTGTGCGCCTTTCGCGTGTGCGTTGCGTTCGGCCAGACCCGGTGCGTCGAGCCGAGCTGCCTCAGCGAGCCGAGCCGCTGGAAGGCCTTGGTGCGCGTCACGGCGTCGAGCAGCGGCTCGAGCGTGATCTCGCGGTGCACGCAGTCGTGCACGTGCTTCCTAGGCCGCTCGTGCTGCCGCTCGTCGAGCTCCCACTCGTCCGCAGCCGGAGGCCAGCTGCTGCCGCCGCCCCCAAGCTTTGCGGCTTTGCGTGCCGTCGTCTCGGGCGTAGGCTCGCGCACCCTGCCGCTCGCGCCGGGCGGAGTGCGCGGCGGCGCTGAGCCGCTGCTCAGAGGTTTAGTTGCCGACCGGACCTTCGCGGAAAGGCACGGCCGAGCTGTGCACGGCAGAGGGTCCCCAGCACTTTTCGTTTCCGGAACCAGACCGTTTTGCCGTCAGCCGGGTTCGCTCCCTTCATGGAGAGAGGAGAGTTGATCTATTGAGGGCCTCATGTAAGAATCGCCGCACGCAGAGGCCGGAACCCGGAAGGGCCTCGGGCGTGGCGGCACACAAAACAAGCAAACAGGACACAGGTGGCGCATGGGGTGGATGGTGGGATGCGCCAGAAAGCAGGAGAGAACCCGGCAGGCACACGAGGGAGCGCAGGTCCGTCTGAATGGGACCACGACTGGAGTACTAGTCTCCGCCGGAATTCCGGCGGGCACCCTCCCCGGTCAGGACGGGTCCCCCCCAGGACGACGGCGCTAGGCATTCTAGCCACTTGCACGCCCCCCCTCGCGCCAAAACACCATCATGTCGCCCTAAAGGGCGACAGCTAGCAGTTTTGCCGTCAGCCGGGTTCGCTCCCTTCATGGAGAGAGGAGAGTTGATCTATTGAGGGCCTCATGTAAGAATCGCCGCACGCAGAGGCCGGAACCCGGAAGCCCCTTTGAGGCCAGTTGCGTCCGGCGAAAGAGTAAAGGCCCTTCAGGACGCGACGGCGGCCTCGCCGAATCGATCAAAGTGTACAGAGATTAGAGTACAGGGCTCACGGCATTGCGCTATCGCGAGAGCCGCCAGAGCGCATTGCCGTGATCCAAAGCGTGAGCCGCTGTTGGCTGCCAGAGCCGCGGCCGACGCGAGCGAGCGCCCGGGCCGGCCTGCTGAGCGCAGGTGCCGCCTCCTCATCTTGGCAACAGGAGCGCGTGAACCGCAGAAAGGGGCTCGTGAGCCAAGTACCTGTGAGCCGAGTACCCGTCTCCCGTGCGCCCGGGAAGGCTGTGAGCGCCGTGTCCCATAGTGCCAAGCGTCGCGTGAGCCGCGAGACAGCGTGAACCGCTGAGAGAGAGAGGCGAGCCTAGCTGAGCGCTGGTGTCCCCGCGTGAGCCGCTGAGGGAGAGGCGAGCCTAGCTGAACGCCGGCGTCACCGCGTGAGCCGCCGCGGTGATTCTCGCCTCGAGTCCTGCGGAAGGCTGAGCGCCGTGTCGCGCAGTGCTGAGTGTCGCGTGAGCCGCTGAGGAGAGAGGGAGGGGCGAGCCCCGCTGAGCGCCGGCGTCGCCGCGTGAACCGCAGCTCAGGCCGCCGCGCTGATGCTCGCCTCTACATTCTGCGCCGTTGGCAGGAGGGGGGCTCCGTCCGCGGAGTAGCGGATTGGGTCTAGCTCTGGTATGAGACTGGTGGCGTTGATGGTGGAGAATACCGCGGTGCTCGCGTTCTCGCGACAACGGGCCTGATACTCCATGTCCATCCGACCGTAGATTCGGATCGAGTCGACCGAGCGCCACCTGCAGAGCGCCTGGATCTCGCCCTCCGCCAGCCTGTTGGCCTTGAATGCCGACGCGAGCCAGACGCGCTTCGAGTGGAACGTCTTATGCTGGCGCTCCGCCGAAGACAGCGTGGCTGTCATAACACCGTCGAGTGTGCGGTCAATGGCCGATGCGGTCCACGCCTTGTGCTTCCCGTCTTGAACAAACAGGGGCGCAGTCCGGCGCGCCGCTCCCCGACACGGGTGTGCGAGCTCAAAGTCAACGAGCGCCGCTGCAAAGTTGGAGACGTTGCCGCGATCAAAGGAGAACACCATGGGGGTCGGCCCAAAGAAGCGTCCCTGAACGTCCGCCTTGGCCGGCCCGCCGCGAATGAGAACGTAGTCTCGAGGCGTCCGACCCATCGCCTGTAGGTCCTCGACACTCGGGTCGGCGATCGGCTCGCCGCCGTCGAGAATGAGGTACGCGTCCGATCGCGTGTAACCGCCGAGCTCGTGGCCGATGACTCCCGCCTTTCGCTCGCCCGTTTGGTTAGCGAAGGTGTCGACGACGCGCCAGCCCCGCCAGAACGGCGCGGCGGCGCTGTAAGGACGCCCGTTGATGATGGTCCCGGTCGGGATCGTGAGCATCCGCCTGTTCTGGTCCGCTGTGAACGGCTCGACCCTCACCGGCAGCTGCGAGTGCTTGCCATAATTGAGCAGCATCTCCTTGCTCATGCCTTTGAAGACATGAGCGAGCATCGCCGGCGGAGGCATCACGTCGCCCCGCCGCGAGTGCGCCCGTCGGACGTGACCGAGAACGTTGAAGGCGCTCTGCACCTGAGCGACCGCATCCTTCTTGCTGCGTGGCTTCATCCGCTGCCACGTATCGATCGCGAAGGCTGTCTGCAGCATCGCCTCGCGCTGCGTGTCGCTCTGCGCCTCGTCAGTCCTCCAGAAAGGAGTGCGCAGACGTGCCACGAATGGGCCCCAGTACTTGCGCATCGCCGACTGCTCGTGCTTCACCGTGGTCGCGTTCGCGCCGAGATCGGCGTAGCCGTGTATCGCCGTCCCCATCTTGTCTAGGATCGACAGGTCCGCGGGCCGCAGGGCGAACGCCGAGGTATCGGTGCACAACCGTGCCGCCACCGACGCAGCGAGGCCAAGTTCACCGCCCGTGGGGCCTCGGCCCGCAGGCAGCCGGCCTGGAGGCCGCATCCTCAAAGGCCCGGTCCGCACGAAGGTTGGCTTGGCAAGGCCCGCCCGAGGGCTCGAGGATGGGCCTCGTGGTCGCCCTTGCACCGTCCCCATCCTAAGGGGCGTCACGCCGTGCGATGCCCAAGCCACAGCGCAGCCAGTGCGCGGCGCCGGCTTGGTCGGCTGCGGCGGCCTGGTCCCCGACGTACGCAGAGGAGGTACTTTGGCGCGCCATAAGTGCGACGCCGAGTCGCCGAGAGAACCTGCGTCCTCAATCGCGGTGCCCCTCTCGATGGCCGTGAGCAGCCGTACGCGCTCGGGCGTGAGCGCCCGGGAGGCGGAAGGAGGCGGCGGCGGCGGCGTCTCGAGCAGCAGCAGCCTCTCCTGAGCGTCGAGGACCCGCGTGACGAGTGCGACCGCCGAAGCGGGGGGCTCAACCATGACCAGGCGGATCCGCAGCGCCGTGGTGACTTCTCGTAGGACGCCGTCCAGCCCTCGGCTAGCGGCGTCCGCCAGTTGCAGGCGGCCCCCAAACCAGTGCGCCGTCAGCAGCTTGCCGCTCACGGCTTGGTAGGCGGGCAGCTCCACCATCTCGTCATAGATGGCGAGCATGAGCGGGGACTTGGCACTGTCCCTCGCCGCCGCTAACGTGGCATTGATGTTGTCGAGCGCATGCAACACACGCGTCGCCATGGCGTGAGCCGCCTGATTCACGATGAGGTGCACGAGGAAAGCCAAGTACTCGTTCGCGCTGTTCGGTAGGATCTCGACTGCCCTCGGCGGGAGGACGAGGCTCCATGCGGTGCCGTGCGAGTAGCCGCCCAGCCCATCGGCCGCCGCCGCCGGCTCGAGCTGCTGAACGCAGCCGCCGTTGACGATAGCGAGCCGAGGTGCGGTGGGCGGAGGACTCAGGCCTGTCGCGGCTTCTTGCCGCTCAGGCCCGCCGCCTGCCGACCGAAAGACTTCGGCGGAGGAGGGCAAAGGCCGAGCTCGACGTGTTCCTTGAACGGGATGGTGAGCTTGTGCGGCGGCGTGCCCGGTACAAAGGTGCTGCATTTGCACCACTGCATGGTGCCTGGTGAACGCTGCACCGCATATATGACGCAGGCCCCCTCCGCCTCGGCCGCGCCGTACTTGCTCGCCAATGCCCCGGCGATGAGCGGGCGCGAGTAGGTCACAGAGGAGCCGAAAGCAAAGCCTGCGGAGCCGTCGGAGCGAAGCTCGCCACTCCGGTCCCGCACCGCCCCGTCGCCCGCACCCTTCTTGTTCTTCTTCTTGGGCGGCTGCGGCGGCTGCGGCGGCTGCGGCGGCTGCGGCGGCTGCGGCTTGGGAGGCGCGGTGCCTGATGGCGCCCCGGCCGCGTACCTCGCCCGTCGCTCCTCCTCCATATCCTGCTCCTCCTTCAAGTGCCGCTTGCGACGACAGATCGTGTCGTCGAGCTCGGAGAGGTACTTGTCATACTCGTCCTTGGCGCGCAGGGTCTCCCCGATGAAGGACAACGAGCGCGCCGTGTTGCTGTCGTGCGACGCCCGCAGCCGTAGTTCCGCCTCCGTGAAGGCCGCCTCCACGAGCTCGGCCGCGTTCGTAGCCCCGGTGACCAGCACTCCGTTGGCGCGCGCCTTGCGCAGGTTCGGCTCAATGAAGGCCATGAGCGAAGAGTAGCTGTTATCGGCGTCCATCGGCAGACCGATGCAGTGCAAAAGCCGGGGGACATACATCATGTGCGCCATCAGCCGCACCGGGTCCCTCATGACGTCGACCAGCGTCATCGGCTGGATCGTGCTCTCGGCAACCGGGATCCGCTGCAGATGCTCTCCCGCCGTGTGCCGCAGGATCGGGCAGACGAAGTCCTTATCGAAATCGATCCCGCCCAGATTCCCGAGCTTGAGGCTGGCGATGGAGGTGGCGCTGAACGCGCCAACCTTCATGTCGGTGAGAGACACGTCCTTGGAGTTGTGCTCGTCGGTGGCGAGGGCGTCCATGAAGAACTCGTCCCAGCGCCGCGGTATCTCCGCGTCTCGCTCCCGCACCATCCCGGAGGGGAGCCCGACCACTGTACGGCTGATGCCGAGCACCCACTTGCAGGCCTTGACGCAACCCGAGCGCAGGACCAGCTCGATGAACTCGTTGTTCGAGCCACCGTCGGCCTGCCACTGCTGAATGTCGGTCATAAGCTGAACCAGTCGGGCCTGCCCGTCGGACGAGGCAGCAGAGAGATCCGCGGCATTCGATTCGGGGCCCTGCGTTGCGCTAGCAGCGGAGAGGCGCTCTTGCAGATAGTCGAGATTGACTGCTGGCTCGACATCCTGCCAGTGTCCGTCGTTCTTGACCAGCCTCGCCTCCACCAGCGGAAGGGTGTCGAAGCTGACGCTCTGGCCGGGGCAAAGCAGGGCAGCCAGTGCCGTGAAATGGCTGAATGCCCCGTGCCCCGACCCTGTCCACTTGGCAATGTTCGGGTGGGCCTGCAGCACCGCAGTGAAGTTGCTGCGCAGCGTGTGAAGGTGGCGCTCCGGCGATGCAAAGTCGAGGGCGACACGCAACACCTTGAGACGCCCAGCCCGAGCCATCGAGCCGGAGAGGAGCACTGCCGGGACCCGCGCCACGGCTTGCAGCAGACCCGCCAGCGCGTCGACCTCGGATGACTCGAAAAGGGCGGGGTCCATCTTCTCTGCGTAGCTGTTCATGACTTTCATCACACGCGAGAAATCGGAATCGGAATCCTCGTCGGGCGGCTCCAGACTGAACGGCAGCAGCCACCCGAGTATGACCCACGGCGCAAGAGTCCCGTCGTCCCCCTCCAGGCTGGTCACCTCGAGCTCGTTGAGAAGTCGGAGGTGGTCCGCTTGGTAAGGGTCCAGAGCAGCGTCAAAGCGGTCCTCCTCGCCCGTGATCAGGAACGGGCTGTCCGAGTCGGCGAGGTCAAAGTGCTGGGCGACAAAGCCCGCGAGAGCCTCGCGGAGCGCGAATGCAGACCGATACGGCTGGTCCCGCTCGCCGTCCCAGAACTTGATGTCAGAAGCGTCCACCCCCACAGCGATCTTGTTCAAGCGTTGAGCGGATGGCATGGAGTCTTGCCCGAACCACACAATCCGGTGTCGGGGCCGAACCTGAGGACGCCGAGAGCCAGCGCCGGAATGGCGGCCGGCACCGCCGTGTACTGTGGTGCCAGCGGGTTGTTTGGATAGTGGTCGAGCGAAAGAGCGTCATGTAGCCATGATCCCTGCAAGACGTCGAACCGCATGTCGTCGGAGAGAGCGCCGAGGCGCGTTTCCTCGTCCTTGGAGTGGTCCCCGTGGACCGTAATGATTGGCCTAGCCATGCGCCAGAAAGCAGGAGAGAACCCGGCAGGCACACGAGGGAGCGCAGGTCCGTCTGAATGGGACCACGACTGGAGTACTAGTCTCCGCCGGAATTCCGGCGGGCACCCTCCCCGGTCAGGACGGGTCCCCCCCAGGACGACGGCGCTAGGCATTCTAGCCACTTGCACGCCCCCCCTCGCGCCAAAACACCATCATGTCGCCCTAAAGGGCGACAGCTAGCAGTTTTGAGTAACCGGGGAAGCCGCCGGTGGCATCTCTTTCCACCCAAGAAGCCCGTTTGGAGGGATGGGCGGCAGTGTGCGGGCGGTGAGTGCTAGTCCTCTCATCAATTTAGAACGAAACGCCCCTCCCTCCCTTCTTCCCTCTACTAGCTGAGGGGCTCGCTAAACGCTCGCCGAGCTCCATGGACCATGCTGTGCAACACCACCTCCTCACTAATCGTCAGGGGCGCGGAGAGCGCAGTGCACTACGGTGAGGCTGCGCAGCGGGGGCTCACCCCCTGCACACCGCGCTCAGCGCGGCGCAGGGGAGGGCGGTCGGTGGCGGCGGCGGCGAGGCGCGAGGCGGTGGCGGCGGTGGTGCGGGCGGCGGGATGACAGGGGAGGCGGCGGGATTGACAGGGGAGGCGGCGGCCACGAGCGGAGCGGTGCGAGAAGGGGGGGGGGCGGCGGCGAGGCGCCGGTGAGCGAGGCGCTTGCGCCATCAGAGGGACGCGCCGCTGCGAGATGGAGGGCGGCGGTGACGGAGGCGAGGCGCGAGGCGGCGGCGGCGGCGGCGGCGGCGGCGGCGGGTCTCGGTGAGCGGCGGCGGGAGGAGGAGCAGCGGCGGCGGGAGGAGGAGCAGCGGCGGCGCTCGCTCACTGTTGACGGGAGCGCTTTTGAGCCTGGGAGCCCATGCCACTGCGACCGGCGTGCCCGGGAACGGAGATCGCGCGCGCGCCGCCACTCACGACGCGCGCGCGATCTTCGCGGAGTCGGGTCCCCAGAGGGAAGCGGTCTTCTCGGCCGACGTCCAGCGGCGCGCAAGGAAGCAGGCGCAGCGGAGGCGGCCTAGCACCGGCTCGGCGCCGGGCGGTTGCGCTGCCCGCGCCGCGTCCTGAGCCTCGGCAGCGCGCTGCGCGGCGCGGCGCTCGCGCTGCTTCTGTGCCGAGAGCGGCATATGATTCGCCAGCTGAAGCTCGAGACTCCTCGGGTCCGCGAGTTGCACGATTTGCGCAGGTTGAGGGGAAATTGGCGTTATCGTCTGAAAGCAGTCTTGGGTGGTATTTCCAGGGAAACCAGAGGGTGTTTGGAGCTCCATTCTGGCAGCTCTCGACACTCGAGTTTCCCTGAGTCTGAGTACTGAGAGCTGGTCTGGGGCAAAATCTGAGGCGAAACCGAGGCCTGGAAAATACCCGGTATTCTCCAGGTATACCCGGTTTTTCGGACTCAGGGCCGGCCGGTGCTTTGACGCAGTATATTGTACTTCGAGGTAGTATGAACTCAGAACGGCCCCCCGAGAGCGCCTCTTCGACGCCCACGGGTCCCAGGGGGTCGGAGGGGTTGCGAGAGGGCCTGGACTATTTTTTGTTTGAATCCCGGAGGCCGTTCGAACATATAACGTGCGTTCCACGTGCCCGTCCCCAGCAAGGACAACATACTAGCCCAGCAGGCCGCTCTCACCGCCGCCCGCGGCGTAGGCAAGGCGGCAAAGGGTGGCAAGGGCGGCGGCAAGGGCGGTGGCAAGGGTTGTGGCCGTGTGGCGCACCAGACCCACTTTGCGCCGCCGCCCTCAACGCCCGATACTCGGTTGAGCCGGCGGAGCGACGGCGGCAGAGTTGCGGCCGCCGGCGACCTCACACGGCGTCGAGCGCCGTAGAGACGGCCCCGAGAGCCGCCGCCAGGTGTGCCACGACCGCGGTCGCGAGGCTCGTGGCGATGGATGCGCCAGATCCGCTTGCGCCGCCGCCCTCAACGCCCGATACTCGATCAGAGCCGGCGGAGCGACGGCGGCGGAGTTGCGGCCGCCGGCGACCTTCCCCTCGACCACGCCGCCGACCCGTCGACAAGCACGTGCGGACTGCCATCGAGAAGAAGGAGACGGAGGGCGGCGCATCCGGAGCCCGCGGGCGCAGCGGGCGCGGGTCCGGGCGCGGGCGGGCGCGCGCGGGAACCCCGCCAGCGGAGGCGACAATGCCTCTGGCGGCTCTGCAGGCGGCGCGCGGCGCGCCCCTCGCCGGTCTCCCGCACGCTCCTGAGGGCCGAGAGGGCCGAGAGGCGTGGTCGGTGACCCGGGGGCATGGGCGGTGCGGCCCGCGCCGCGCGCGGGCGCGTGACAGCCCGTGAGTGCCGAGATCGGGTCCGTACTTCGACGTAGTATGGGCCCCCGGGGGCCCATCTACAGCAGCGGCGAAGTGAGCGTGTTTGTGGTGTTGGTGTGGCGTCTGAGCTTGGATCTGTGACTAAAGCCGGTTACCACTGATGGATCCCCACCCGAATAACACACAGTGAGCGCCCCAGCGCTTCACTACGCCCTCCGCGCGAAATCTCGCTAGTGCTGTGAGAAAGTATAATATTGTACTTTTGAGTAGTACGGGTACGGTTCCCGAGACCGTTTTCCAGGTATACCCGCAAAGTACCCGGGTATTTTGCCGATTTGGCTGATTTTGGGCCCAAATCAGCTGATTTCCACGGAGTTTCCTCGGGAAATTAGAGAGGAAACGAGAGGGTGCTGTAGAGAAACACGGAAAGGAAACGAGACGGGGTGCGCGAGGAAACATGGATACAGCCTAAGAGGCAGCCCGAGGGCCAAACAAACAGGAGAATCGTGCTTTGAGTGGGGTTGTTTGGTGTTGGGTTGGGTAGGTCGAGTTGGGTTGTCCGAGCGACTGGTTGGGTTGTTCAGGGGACAGGGGAAGTAGGGTATGCGTGAGGTATGAGTGATCTGTGATCTGTGAGGGTCCGCCTGCAGGCGCATTTTGTATACCGAGGCGGTGCCCGGTGCCGAGCGCCTCGGGTTGAGATATCGTGAGAGAGATTTTTTATTGAAAACCAACAAGATCTCGCTCTCTCCGGGTTGTAGGTTTGTCGTTGGCAAAGCAAGACACAGCGCTCACACAAAATCACAGTGGGCGGAAAGCGAACGAGTCACTTAACAGGGGTCGATTGGGGCGGGCCACCCTGTCCAGAGCGCAGAGGCGGAGGTGCCTTTCTGGGATCTTGCGATCGAGTCTATGCAGCCCTCTCGGCCACGCGCTCCTCTCGTGGCTGATAAGCGATATGAGTATTCGCAGACCAGGCGATGGAGATGGCGGGGAGCACGGGTGTGACTGCTCACCAAGGCCGAGGGGGGCACGACACGCACCGACCCTTCACGAACCGATAGATAGATAGGCCATGCCCGGGAGGGACATGGCGTAATCCGGGCACGTGTTGGACGCTCCATTCCGTTTGGCAGCTAGGTCGGCTCAGGGCCCCGTCCACTTCCCTCCCACTCGGCTCGTGATGATGAGGAGATGCCACCCAAGCCAGCCGGGGCAAGGGTGGGGGCGAGGGCGGAGGGCGGGATAGGCGCCAAGCGGGAGGGAGCGGACGGGGTGGAACGTCTCTCCGGGTCGTACGCACGGTGAGTTCGTACGGTGAGGCAGAGGACGACGCGAGAGCGACGAGAATGACAGCACTGACGGGGTTTTTCTTCTGCTCTGATCGCTGATAATGCCGGAAGCCGCCCCTGCTGGCTCCGCCGCTCTCACCTACCCCTGGTCCTTCTCGTACTTCAAGAAAGTGGCCAACCGGTCGTACGAGGAGAACACTTCCGCTCTGGGCACCGTCCAAACAGTAATCACCCCCGGCCGCCCTCCTCAGCGGCGTTGCGCGCGCGAAGCGCCGGTCCCTCTTCGCGGCGAATCGTAGGTAGAGGACTTCTGGCAGCTGTACGTGCACCTGCGCCGGCCGTCTTCGGAGGAGCGGCCAACCAACTGCGACTACCACGTCTTCCGCGAGGGCATCCGGCCGATGTGGGAGGACAGCGAAAACCAGGCCGGCGGCAAGTGGATCGTGCGGCTAAAGAAGGGGCTCGCAGCTCGCTACTGGGAGGACCTGGCGCGCCGCCACCGGCCGCTCCCCCCCACCCCCCCCCCCCGGGGGGGGCCCGCCGCCGACGCTGCGCGCGTGCCCCTCCCTCACCCCTCTCCGCGCGCCTCTCGCTGCAGCTCCTTGCGCTGATGGGTGGGCAGTTCAAGGGCGACGAGATCTGCGGGGCGGTGCTCTCGGTCCGGTACCAGGAGGCGTGCGCGCCCGCGCCCCTCTCGCCCCTCCCGGCCCGCCCTCCACCCCCTCTGCTCCCCGCCCCTCAGGACCTGCTCTCGCTGTGGAACAAGTCGGCCGACAGCCGGCGCGTATGCATGCAGATCCGCGACACGCTGCGCCAGGTGACGGGGCTGCCGGCGGACGCGACGATGGAGTACAAGAAGCACACCGACTCGATGCGAGACAACTCCTCATACCGCAACGCAAACGCAAACTTCTGACAGCAGGGGGGCCGGAAAAAGTCCTCGGACCTCACTCGCTCGGGGGGGGCGCGCGCCGGCGGGCGGAACTTGAGAGCGGCGGGCAGGCCCTGTCGGGGTGAGTACAGAGCATTGGTGTACAGAGCATATGGTCTCTGTTCAAAAGAATATAGACAAGGTGACTGGGCGCGGGCGCGTCTGCCTCTGCGACTTTCTCTCCTCCAACTCTATCTATCTCCCTCGCCGTCGCCCACGCTGCTGCAACACGCACACACGATCATCGATCTCGGAGACGCTCTCTCGATCCGCGAAAGGGATCGCACGCCCGCCTTGCGTAAGAGACGGAAAGAGACGGAGAGCGACCAGTGCGCAAACAGAGCGCGTCGCCCAGCGTTCGAGGGGGGTGCTCACGCAGCGGCCCGCACCTTGACGACAAGACGGCTCCCCACAGCCTCAACGCTCACCTTCAGTGAGTCATCCGCGCAGCTGCTCGCGGGGCCGCCGTTCGCCGCCGGCGCCGCCGGCGCCGCCGGGCCGCGAAAGGCGTCGCAATACATCCAGCGCTTGGCAAGAGGGGCGACAATCTCGGCGGCCGCGACCTCCCTCGACAGCACCGGGGTCGAGGGCGCTGGCTGTTTGGGCTCACGCGCACGTATGCGCGACGCGAGCCACGCATACGGCGCCGCGGGCTTGTGCTGGACGAGCTCGTTGAGCCAGGTGTTGAGGTTCGCCTGGATGGCGTGCTCGTCAAAGTACTGCTGCAGCGCCTGAGGGTGGCGGTGGAGGGCGGCGGTGGCGAGTGCAGTGGCGAGCGTGCGTTGGTGCGGTGGTGGTGAGGGTGGTGGTGGTGACGAGTGCGGTATTCGCAGCGGCGGTGGCTTGGCGGTGGGGGGCGGTGGGGGCGGCCTCGACGCTGGGAGCGCCGCCCTGAGCGCCCCGAGGCCGCATGTGTTTTTTTCTCAATTTTTCGCTCTGGCTGTTACCTAACCTAACCCTCCTTGCTTGGGCGCTGCGCTGGGCTGGCGCGCACGGGGGGGGGCAGTAGCGTACGTAGTACGCTCATTTCGCTCACTCGGGCAGCCCGACAAAACAAACTCTCTCTCTCTCTCTCTCTCTCTCTCTCTCTCTCTCTCTCTCTCTCTCTGGCAGCCCGTGCCGAGAGAGAGCTGTTGCGTGCCGTCATCTCCTGTCTCGCTCGCTCGCTCGTTCGAGAGAGAGAGAGAGATTTAGCAATATTTGTCTCGTTCGTGTCCACACACCGCGTTGGAGAGAGAGAGAGAGAGATTTGAAGACCAACAAGAAATCACGACGTGCACTCGCGCACAGTGATTTGGGCTCGGCAGCTTGTTAGCCCTCAGCCGAAGCTGGGGCCGGTCCCGTAGCCGAGAGAGCCCGCGCCGATGAGTTCGACGCGGTCGGGGGGCCTTGCGGAGAGGCCAGCGAGGCGGCGATCGCTGTACTTCATGGTGCCCTCGCCCCTCGGAGAGAGAGATATTTAGCAATACCAAACAAATCTAACACTCACACGTCATTTGGGGCCTGGAGCCCTGTTCACGCGCGCGCGAGACGTGCAGACAGGGTTGCCAGGTGAGAGCGAATGGCGCGGTTCACGCCTCGCACGACAGAGAGAGAGATGCGCTCTGCATGGTGGGACATAAAAGAGAGCGAGTACTTGGGCGAGTAGGCCGTGCGGTCGACGCTGCCGCGCGCGACTTTGCGCGCGAGGCGGCGCAGCTTGAGAACGGCGGTGGGCGAGAAGCCGCCGCCGAACGTCTCGTGGAGCAGCAGGTTGAAGTTGTTGCGCTTGACAAAGATCGCGTCGTGGTAGAAACCGCGATGCGCCTTGACGTAGCCGTGGCCGGTCTTGTGGGAGAAGGGTTGGCCGGGCTGTCCGCGCGCCTTGCAGCCCATGTTTAGGCGGCGGGCCTTCTCCTCGGTGTTGCCGAAGGCGTAGGAGTGGCCAACGGAGGCGGGCGTGCCGCCACTCGAGGCGTTGCCAACGCCCGGCGAGGAGGTCTTGAGGAGGGGCGTCCAGAGCTTGATTTCATTCACGTCATCGCACCCTCCTGGTCCCGCATGGGGTTCTGCGAGGTCAGTCTTGTACCCCTCGTTGTACTGCCGGGTGAGCTCTGGTTTCTCCTTGTCGCCGTGCACGACCGGCGCGTTGGCCGGGGCGCGCATCGCGTCCGCCCAGGCGGCGAGGACGCCGTCGTGGGGCCGCCGGTGGTGGGCCTTGTTGTAAAGGTAGTCGCCGAAGAAATCGACTGGCATGTTTGTCCCCTCGGTGGGGCGGCTGACAAGCCAGAGGTCGATACTCGGGACGACCCATAGGATGCCACGAATGCCTGGAGGAGAGGGAGGCGAGGCCAGAGGCAGACTCAGCTGCTCTCGGGTGATCTCGCTTTGGTGGCTGAAGGACCCGATGGTCCTGTCACATTCGTGATCCGAGTCGTGGGGGTAGAAATTTCCGCGGTAGGATCGAGTCAGCACATCCTTGTAGTACAGCGGACCGCCAGGCTCGCCGGCAGCATCCGCAGGGAGGCAGCATATCCGGCACCAGTCTTCTGGAGAGCTCAACAGCTGCGGCCGCGGTGGCAGAGTCGGCCGCGGTTCGAGTGAGCAGCTTTTGGCTGCGGGATCGAGTCGCGCAAGTCTCATGCCCTCGCGGAGCGACGCGGGTCGCGCGGCGCGCGCGTGTGCGCAATGCGACAACAGACGACAGACGACAGACGCCTGAGCGCTGTACGACTGAACGACCGTCGCCGCAATCGCCACCGCCGCCATTTTGACGAGCAGCGCGATGGAAGCAGGAAGCTTCCATCCCGGCGGTGGTTCGAATCCACACGAGCCGAAGGGTGAAGGGGGAGGCAGGCCCGAGGTCTGAAGCTCACCCATTGTGGAAGTGAGAACTGCTCGGCCCACCCCTGATCCTGCTGAACAAGCTCCTCTTGTAGCTCGATCGGTCACACCGCCATCGCCGTCGGGGAGAGGGGGGACGACACTGCCTCGGCAGCGTGCACCTCGATCCTGTACCGTGTTTGTTATGACCCCCCCCGATGAACACACCAGTGAGGGAGGGCGAGACGATCGAGGGGTCCCGTACCACGCGGAATCGACCCTATCCAGTGCTCAAGTGCTCAAGCAGCGCGAGGCCGCGAGCGCGCTCGTCGGCGGCCAGCCGTCGCGGGCCGGGCCGAGCCCGGCCTCGACCGGCCGCGCCGCCGCAGCAGGCCCGGAGGCCCACATGGCGGCCGACCAGCTGATGAGGAGCTCTCTCCGCGTTGGTGTCCAGTCTTCCAAGCCTGCGCTGTTCTTACCTCTGATACATGCAAGCAAGGGAGGGAGGGAGCGGGAGAGAGGGAGAGAGGGGAGAGGGAGATAGAGAGAGAGAGATTGAGAGAGAGGCTCGGACTGGAGACCGGCGCGTATGCTCTCGATGCGTTTCGTCGTAGAAAAAAAATAAATTCGACAAAAACCAGCTGAAGCAATAATAAGCGTCCTTGCTCACCGCGGCAACCTTGCGCTGTCGGCTCCACCTTACTCTCCGCCCCAAACCGCGCCGCCATGGCTTCCGACTTCTCGCTCAAGGACCCCGCCCGCTCCTCCGCCGCGCGCGGCTCGCGCCACAGCCAGCACCAGAGCATCGACCTCTCCCAGTCCATGGTCGAGTCCGGCAACGCTTTTGGCGACCCGCCGCCGGCGCGGCCGTCGTGGCTGCAGCGGCAGTGGACCTTCTTCTGCGGCACTCCGTGCCGCGCGATGCTCGGCTGTGGCACGATCGTGCTGCTCGGACTCATCATATTCGTGCCGATCATCCTGCTGGTGATCGTGCCCATCGTCGTCAACATGTTTGTGAACGCCACGACGATGACCATCATAAGCGCCACGCTGATGGAGCCCCTCCCCTCCACCATGCTGATCGATACGTGGGTCGAGCTCAACAACGCCGGCCCGATCGCCGCCAAGCTCTCGGGCTTCAACGCGACGCTGGTCGGACCAAAGGGGCGCGACATCGGCTGGCTCGTCTTCCCCGACGTCCCGCTCGACGCAAACTCGGCCAACCTCCAGGATGTGCTCAGCCAGATGACCATCATGAACGAGCAGGCCATCTACGAGGAGGGGCTCGACCTGCTGGCCGGGCGCCCGGTCACGTGGCGCATCAAGGGCGAGACCACCCTCACGACCCTCGGCTTCGGCTTCAAGGTCGACATCGACAAGCCGCTCACCTTCCCCGGCGTCCTGCTCGAAATTTACAGACGCACCACCTGGGCATCATCTATGTGACCGCCTCGTATGTTGTCAAACGGCTCAGTGCGATGATTGTGATGTACGCTCGACCTCGAGTTCTTCTTCTTCTTGATCCTGCAGTTAGCACGCATCGTCATCCTGCGTGTCGACCTTTAGTACGCCAAGGACGCCCAGGTCGCGGAGAAGTTGGGCTTATCAACGGTTTTCCGCGTGCTGCGCGTC